GGATCCATATCCCCCTAATTTGACCCTTGTGAATCTAATGGTGGTGTTATTTTAGCCTGAAAACAGTTGTATCATGAGATTCAAAGAAAACATCTCAAACTTCCCTAGCCATGACAAATCCTCACTCCCAACCGGTGTAACTTGGTGTGGCTGTTTTGGTGTGCTTCAGGCTTCAAGGATGGTTGGGATGGACTCCTGGGATCTTCAGGAAGATGATAGGGTGTGGAATGGATTGAAAGTAGTTGCACACAAGGTTTTCAAGTTGCCCTAGTTTTGACAATTTTGAGATTTTTGTAGGGCTTGTTCTTGAGGCAAATTTTCGTGTCCCTTGATGTCTGAAAGTGTTGTTTATTTATAAGAGAGTGATTAGGTCAACAAACATGAATAAAATCTTTGTATTTTATGACCAAATATTTTATTGTAATTTTTGCATGAAATCTTTATTTTTTAGGCCAATCAAGTACCGATCATCTTTGCTTGTTTTTTGCAAGTTGTCATCAGCTTTTTAGACTTATGATTTGATTGAAAAATAGATTCTCATACCTTATATCATTTATTTGGTATTTTATTTGATTTATTTTGCTTTTAATTGAATAAAATCAAAATAAAAAGAAACAAAAACCACAAAAATAAATGAATGGATTCAGAGGTCTATTATGAAGTCAGGAACATGTTTGGACCTTAAAAGATAGGCCCATTAGCCCAAAATTTCAAATTTGCTCAAATGGGATTTCATGCATTTTCTCAAAATTACCCAACTTGTACAAATCATATCTCACTCAATTTTTGTCATATGAAGGCGATCTTTGACTTTTTGGAAAGATCAAGATGTCTCCTACGACTTTCATGTTGGTCATTTTTTCATTTGAAACATTTATCTTAATTTAAATTTCTTTGACAAAAGATGTCTTTTTGTTGACTTTTAAAATGACTTGTAATGTTTTGGCCCATATCTCTCAAATGAAATATTTTTGGCCTTGAGCTTAGAAATACAAAGTTGTAGAGAATTGAATTTCCTTCAATATGTGCTTTGGTTAAGGAATTTATGATGAAGTTTGTGAAAGTTATGCTTGGTCAAAGTTTAGTTGACTTCTTCTGAAGAAAACCCTAATTTAGTAACTTTTGACTTTTGATGAATCTTGAGTTTTCTTGATGAATCATGATCAACCCTTGATCAAATGATGAATGTAACCTCAAAATATTGATGTTGACCAAAAATCTTGAAGTTTGACTGTAAATTGGTCAAAGTTGACTTTTTGTCCGATACAATTGATTTTCAATCATCTGTCTAAATTGACTGAGCAAACTTGTGCTGTAAGGCTTGAAACTTGGCATGAGGATACCTTGATACATATGAGGATCCATGAAATCCAATCGAGGAATTAGAAACTTAATTTCCTTTGAGAGAAGAAAAACCCTAGTTGTAGGTCAATTTCTTAGGAGGAGAGTCCATCTGATTAATCTTTGATAAGTCTTGAGTGCTTGAGACCTTCATGAGGATGCAAATGTGTCTTGAATTAATTTTTCTTGAAAATGGGAGGGAAAATTTTGGGGTATAACAGGTAATGAAAATCTAAACGAAAAATAAAAGGAATACAAATGCAAATAAATTCGAAAGAGACTGAGGAAGACTTTACCATTTTCATTGAACAAATCCTTGAGTTGTCGAATAGATATATAGTGGAGATGTAAGTGTAGCAGTATGAGGCACCAGGGAGAGTGATGAACCCGCTAGGTTTTAAAGGGAAAAGAGAAATGAGAACAGCAAAAAACATAGAGTTCATGGAGAGAGAGAGAGAGAGAGAGAGAGAGAGAGAGAGAGAGAGAGAGAGAGAGAGAGAGAGAGAGAGAGAGAGAGAGAGAGAGAGAGAGAGACTTGAAAATCAGAGGATTGACAAATTGAAAAAATGGTGCCACATGTCTTAAAGGAATATTTTGATTGGGAAAGGTCTTTTTATTTAGTAAATTATAGTTAAGGGCAAGGTGTAACATAAAATAATATTGTTTGAAAGAGTAAATTAGGAGATCATAAGCATTTTCTAATCTTAGTTAGATAGTTGATAATGCAATATATAATAAGCCTTCAAAAATTGAATCCTTATAATATCTAATATCAACAAACACAACAATGCAATATCCAAACTACAGTCACAAATAAAGAGAAACACCAAAATTCATACAAAGAGTATCAAATTGCTTTATTTTTAATTATACTAGAAATTTCAATTACCGGAGATAAAGAGAAACAAGTCTCATTTTCTTAATACTTCTCCTGTCACATTTGTTTTTCTTGCGTCAACGTTGAGATGTTTCTCCTCTCTAATTTCCAAATATGTAAAAAACTAAATATGAAATGCACCTAAATCTAAGACAAAACAAAGAAACATAAGGAGAAGAGAAAAAGATTAGAAAGTAAAATATAGAAAGAAAAAAATAAAAAATAAATTTATTGCAAACCTTAAATCAGAGATCATTTCAGTTTTGCCTTCCGCTAGAATAATCGAAGAAATAATTCACCATTAAGACCAAGATTTTCATTTCTGATGATTGTCACTTTTGTCCTTGCAATTTCATTCTTTTCAAATCAGAAGATCTCACAAAATCAATAATTTTCCCAGATCCTAAATCGAATTCAGATATCCTGAGTTGGAAGAAAAAACACAGATTTATAGCTAAAATATGAATGTGAAAACGATACGAAAACATAAACAAAAATGAAAAGGAATACAAATACAAATAGATTCAAAAGAGGACATGGATGACTTTACCATTTTCAATGAACAAATCCTTGAGATGTCAAATAGATTTGCGGTGGAGATGACAATGCAACAGTATGAGGCACCGAGGAGAGTGATGAACCTGCTAGCGTTTGAAGGGAAAAGAGAAAAGGGAACAGAAAAAACCGTAGAGTTCATGGAAAGAGAGAGAGAGAGAGAAAGAGAAATCAGTTAAAGACTTGAAAACTAGAGGATTGACAAATTGAAAAAAAAATGGTGCCATCTATCTAAAAGGAATATTTTTATTGGGCGAGGTCTTTTGATTTAGTAAATTACAGTTAAGGGCAATGTGTAGTGTAAAATAATATTGTTAGAAAATGTAAATTAGGGAGATCATAAGCTTTTCTAATCTTAGTTAGATAGTTGATGATGTAATGTCTAATAAGCCTTCAGAAATTGAATCTCTCTAATATCTAATATCAACAAACACAATAATGCAAGATACAAACTACAATCACAAATAAACAGAAACACCAAAATTCATACAAAGAGTATCAAATTGCAACTTTATTTTTCATTATAATAACAATTTCAATTACCAGATATAAAGAAAAGCAAGTCTCATTTTACCCATGATTTTCTTGTCACATTTGTTTTTCTTACATCAACATTGAGGTGCTTCTCCTCTCTAATTTCCAGATCTGAAAAAAAATTACATATGAAACACACCTAAATTTAAGACAAAATAAAGAATCATAAGGAGAAGAGAAAAAGATTAGAATGTAAAACATAGAAAAAACAAAAATATACTTACTGCTAACCTTAAATCAGAGATCCTTTTAGTTCCTGCTGCCGCTAGAATCATCGACAAAATCATTCATCGTCAAGATAAGGATTTAAATTTCTGATGATTACCACTTTTGTTCTTGCAAATTTCATTCTTTTCAAATTAGAAACTCTCACAAAATCAACACTTTTCACAAACCTTAAACCGAATTCAAATATCCTGAGATGGAAGAAAAAACACAAATTTATAGTTGTAATAGAAATGTGAAAACGACAATAAAAACGTAAACAAAAATGAAAAGGAATATGAATGCAAACAAATTTGAAAGAGAAAGGGTACGACTTTACCATTTGTAGTGAATAAATCTTTGAGATGCTGAATAGATTTGTGGTGGAGATGACAATGCATCGATATGAGGCACCGAGGAGAGTGATGAACCAACTAGAGTTTGAAGGTAAAAGAGAAAGGGGGACAAAGAAAAGTGAAGAGTTCATGGAAAGAAAGAGAGAAAGAGAAACCGATTAAAGACTTGAAAACCAGAAGATTGACAAAATTGAAAAAAGGTGCCATCTGTCTAAAAGGAATATTTTTATTAGACAAGGTCTTTAGTAAATTACAATAAAGGGCAATGTGTATTGTAAAATATTATTGTTAGAAATGGTAAGTTAGAGACAGCATAAGTATTTTTTAATCATAGTTAAATAGTTGGTGATGAATTCCAATTAAATAATGTCAATGCATTATCTATAGGGGTGGCAAAACGAGTCGTATCCCGTCGGGCCGGCCCGTGCATCCGCCAAAAAATGGAGGATTGAGTTGAAATTTTAGACTCGTCGTCCACCAAACCCTGCCCCGCTAAAGACTGATGTTCGTCAAAACCCACCCCGCCAAAATCCACTGCCCGCCAAAATCGTTGTGCCTATTTGTTCAACTTGTCTCATCTTAAACACATCATTTTTTAATTAATTCTAATAGGTCCAATTCTTGATAGTTTTATTTTATACATTTATTTATGAATATGTGCAATATTTTTTTAAGTAAATATTTATTAAAAAGATAATTTATAAAAAAAATATTTTAAAAAATAAGTGAAAAATTTAATTTAAATTTAAAAACAAGTTTTTAATATATTAAAAAAAATATATAAAAAAAAAGGTAAACCCGTCAATCCATCACTTTAGTAGAATAAATTAGACTTTTATGTCTACTTTTATGTCTACTAGTAGAATAAACTTTTATCACTGATGGTTTTATCACTCCCAAATTCAAATATAGATAAACTTTTATTATTATTTTTATCAAGATTGATTATGAAAAAAAATCCCATTAAAAAAAAGTGATTACGAAAAACTGAAAGTTGTTGATCTTTCCAAATCCACTGTTATCACCACTCATGAAGCAATAAGCATCAACATCTTCATCATATATAAATTAAATCTCTTCTCTTTCTCTCTCCTTCACCTCTCACAATTTCTCTCTCTTAAATCTTCATCAACATGGGTTCAACATCTAGTCGACTCGGGTCTCGTCCTTCTCCTCCAAGGGTCAACAACCATCGCTTCAGATTCTCCTCCTTTCTCTGCGGCTCCTCCACCTCTCGCTCTATCTCTCAGGTTCCGATTTTCTTCTACTTTTCACTTTTTCAATTCACCCTCACCTTTTCGATTCAATTTTTCAATTCGTTGTTCATTCATCCGATCCCCTTTTTATTCAAAAGGATCAAGATAATATTATTAGTGGTTATCATAGTTGTTGATGATGATGATAATTGATTGATACGATTTTACATGTATGAGCTTAATCATTGAAATTATTTGTTGATGCCACTGATCAAGGTTTTAAAAAACTGTGGCGTAAAAGTTTTTGCAATCGGTATAGGTGTCGCTACACTTATTGTTGCGGTCGTGGTGTGAATTAACCACAATTCTTTAACATAAAAACAGTGAATATCGGTATCAGATACCGTTTTGCCGAAGTTGTTTTCGCGGTATCGGGCCGTTTTTTAAAACCTGTTAGTGATATCGTTATTTGTTAGAAATATTGAAAAATTGAAATTATATGTTTTAACTCTTTATCCATCATTCACTGACGAGTAGTGGCAATCCTTTACTTTCGCATTGAGTTTTTAGGGGGGTGTTGATTGCTATTGATTTATGCATCTAATAAGAGTCTGTCTAAGGATTGGATTTTGAAAATCATACTTGTTCTTAATTAGTTGATTATTCTCACAAGGTGAATAGAGTGCACAAGAAATTTTGTCAATTGCGGAAAATAGCGGTTTGTGTTCAAAGTCCGCTACGCATTCTACTTGACAACATTTTGTACTGAATCGTGTGTCGCAGACCAATAATGATTTGTTCAAATTCCGTTGTGCTATAGTGCCGTTATAGTTGCTATTTAACGATATTGTGCATATGTGTGACTTGCGAACTTAGGCCTTCAATCAAACATGCAGTGCTTTGAGGATGACTGATTAAGGGAGTAACATTTTAAACTATTCTTTTTAGATGGAAGACCATCAATATGAACAGCTTCATGTTGATTCGGCTAGACATTTTAATGATGACATTCAGAAAGTCCCTCTTGAATCGTCATTATCATGTACTGAAGAAGCTAGAATAAGTTGCTGCCCTCATGCTGAAACTTCAATCTCAACCAATATGAGAACTGAGTTCCGCGGGAATGCTACTGTTGAAGGTTCTGATGGGAATGATGCAATAAGTAATCAGAGGAATTGCTTGTCTGATCATAAGGAACTAGTTTCTCCTTATCAGGTATGTGCTGGTCATAGTCATCCTGAATCATATAGTGATGGTAACAACACTGCTAGTACTTCATTTGTTGAACAACGGTCTTCAGATCCAGTCTCTGTAAATGATTTTACTAACATGGATAGAATCAATAATGTTGATGATCCAGTGTTTAGTGGTGTCTCTCGAATCTCTCATCATGAGACCACGCACCCAAGGAGCTCAATCTCTCAAGAGCATGGAAATGCCAGTTCTGGTGAAATTTCTATTGAGGTTGACACAAATTCAGGCATATCTATCCATAGTTCTTCCACTCATGTTGCTCAAGCGTCGAATGCACCACCAACTCCTGAAGTGCCAGAAGATGAATCTCGTCGCGAAACGATACCTTCAGGTTTAGGTATTCTTGTGTCCAATCGGGAAATAGTTCAGGGAAATGATGGTATGTTTCAAGTGGATGTAGTCGCAATATCCTCCAACATTTTGTCTGGAAGCAATGCAGATGCGGATGATGATGAAGCCAGAAGGAATGGTAGAAGGTTATTTTGGGATGCTTTTTCACAACGTAGTTCTAGAAGGTTTGGTGATTCTCCAACCATCGTTATCTCCACGGGAGGCACTGATGATTTGGGATCTCAAGATCGGTGGCAGGTTGATTTTGATGAGGATTTATCAAATGACGGGCTTGGACGTCTGCCCAGATATAGGGGCAGTAGAATTCGCAGATTGAGTGAAAGAGTGCGACACTCAAGATCTGAGGTGATTTTGAACATTTTATAGAATGCTTTGAATTACTTATGTCACGAACTTGCATTAATTAACTGAGTTTGTGATCCCTGTCGTGTTATTTATGGCACAAGCATTTTGTAAACTGTTTGCTTTCCTTTATACAGATCTGGGAAAGACTTCGTGGAGGCCTTGATGAGATTGGACGGTTGAACTCTTCATGTCCATTAGGACTCCACGCGGACGGTATGTGCTCGTGTGAGTCATTCCCAATGGCTGAAGAATCTAGCTCTCGGTCAAGTATTTCAAGAATAGTAATGCTAGCTGAGGCTCTGTTTGAGGTTTTTACTTTCTCTATTTGCTCTGAAATTTAATTTAATTTAGCATTTAACCCTTACCCTGCGCTTTTCTTGCATATTTTGAATCTAACTATGATACAATTGATAGGATAGTGTGACACATCATAAATGTTGGAGCCATGTGCTATTATTACTTGTTATGTTAGATGCAGATATTTTGTACAATACTGAACTATGGTTTTCATGGTGGATCATTTATTCATAACTGATTCAAATCTATTATTTTCTGGTTACATCAAATGTCCCTCATTAGATCTAAATAATTATTTTGCCCGAAAATGATATTGTATTGTATGTGGGCCAAAACAAATTTACGAAGCACCATATTTTTCCACCGCAGGTTTTAGATGAAATCCACCGACAACCTTCATCCCTTTCCTTATCCACGCTCTCACTCCCTGCACCTGAATCAGTCGTGGACTCTTTCCCTCTGAAGTCTCACAAAAAGGTTGATGCAGCTGATGGAGGCAATGATGCTGAACAGTAAGCCCCATAATCCCAATTATTATTGTTATTATCATTATCATCATCATTAAAAGTAAACAAGTTTACCCTAGATTAGTTGTTGTGGATGATTAGTTTTTAATTTTTAATATTCAAGTCTGTGCCAGTGATTATGATACTCTGTTTGCTCTTGAATGCTCACATGAAAGTTGTATACTTTTTATTTTTATTTTAATTTTTCATTTAGCCATTCAAGATTATTCCATCTTCTCACTTAGCCGATCAAGATTATTCCATATTCCAATATAATATTAAAAAAGCTAAAAATCAATTTGTCAGATGTTACATATGCTTGGCGGAGTATGAAGACGGGGACCAAATACGTGTTCTTCCTTGCAAGCACGAATATCACATGTTGTGTGTCGATAAGTGGCTGAAGGAAATACATGGGTAACCTACCTGATATATTGTTCTCATTCTTTTCATATTTACTAGTTTCTAATATCTAAGTAACCATGTTTTCTGCTTCAATCTTTTACAGGGTATGCCCTCTGTGTCGAGGCCATGTTTGTGGAGGCTCAACAGAGGCGTCAGTTCACTCAGAAGTGCAGTCAATAGTTGAAATTTAGGCTAAACTTAATGTTTGCCTTGACGTATATACACTACACATCAATTTGTTCAGCCAGAAATTAGTGTTACCAAAATGGTTCATTTTGATAATCACAGAATTTGATGGATCATTTTGATTTCACTTTAAATCTTTGAAAGGTTAATTGATATCAGAAATCTTGAAAGATTGAATTGATGTTAAGTGTGTGCTTGAATAATCACAAGTGATACTATACTAAGCCTTTGTAAATGATAGGTGGCAAAATAGTAATTGAAAAGGCAAAATTTTATATCCAAATTTTGCGTGGCTTCTTCTGACTAGTTAAAAAATCAAACAAATATAAATTAGATTATAGTTTTGCAATTTAAAAGTTCATTTTGTAATGCGAGGCTTAGGGCCTGTTTGTTTCAATTTTAAAAAAAATGATATTTTTTTTTGTATTTTTGAAAGCGTTATTCAAATTAATAATTATTCGTTTTATCTAAATTGAAATACTAATTTTGATATTCTAATATAAAAATGCATTATTGAAGACTAAAACATAGCTGGAATAACAGTTTTTTCAAAAAATAGATTTTACAATTACGTGATTTTTTGAAATTTTATTATCTAAAAAAAAATTTCATAAAAAAATGAAATATTTCAAATAACTATTTAAATCAAATTTTTATTTAAAACTTTTATGAAAAATTTCTTTTTAAAATTTCTTTTTTAAAAGAATAGTGTAACATTATAAAAATCATTTAAAAAAACAAAAAACAAACAGGCCATGCTTTTCAATTATTTCAAAAATCAGTTGGAATTTGTTAGTTGTTGGAATTCACAAAAATCACGGCACTGCCGCACGGTCTGTAGAAGTTAACAGTTGTAGCACGGTTTGTAAAAAGTTAACAATTGTAGCTTTAGAAAAACAGTTAACATAGCACGGTTTGTAAAAAGTTAACAATTGTGTGGGCGGATAACTTTGTTTCCAAAACACACATAATATGTTATTACCAAAGCTTACTTGAAACATAAATTTTAATGAAGGAAAGAGTTCAACTAAAGCACACATGAAACATAAATAGAAATGACGAAGAAACACCATAGATGTTTGATACACATAAAAGAGATATAGTAATTAAGACAGTATTAAGACACTTTTATAATGTTTGATAATTCAGACAGTAATCAAGTCTTTTTATGGTCTTCTAAAGTCTAAACATAACAGTATTAGACTCCTCCAGATGAGGTCTTAAAGCGTAGTTCAAAGAGGTTGAACATACTCTACAGTGTTTGTGAACAAGGTTCAACGTTCAAATCTTGACTACTAACATTTTTGCTTGGAGAAAGAAGCTGATAGAGACCTCAGCTTAATCAGTTACGTGTATTCTCAATAACCATGAGAAAATGGATTGATGTTACTACTGCTAACTGAATTGTCACGATGAACAAAAAGATTCGGATGAATATTCTCATCATCATCAAATGTTGTCCACCGCCTCGAGTTCCCGCTGTGTTTTTCTTTTGCTATGCTCCGCATGTTTTCCATTTCTTCAACATGGTTTTTGAATTCCTTCTTCACCACATCCAATACAACATCACCATATCGGTCGCACCATGATCTGAAACACAATACACACACAGGATAAGAAAGAAACCTTAAAAGTTGAGTACATAAATGAATAGTCAAGTAATCTAGAGTACACTTACTTGGGGAAGTAGTTCTTCAAATCAGCCTTGTCCACTGGAATCCTGGTAGATATTGCTTCCATTTGATCATTCCTGTTAGCAGCACACAACATACACAAGCAATTTTACATTTCTAAGCAAACTAATAATTATCATTTTTCCAAATGTATAAGAAAAGTACTAACGAAAATTTAAGATTCGGATTTGTGCTGCTAAGTTCTGTCTGAATTCTTGACAGCTCCTTCTTTATGTTGTTTCCCAAAACCTATTTACAATTCACAATAAAATTCGGTTAATATATGACTCATAAATAACAAATAAATTCGAATTGACTCCTCCATCAATCTCACACACACATTCACGCAATCAACTCATCTATGGTTGTTAGATTCAATCTCTATGTAATGGCCAACAGGATTGTCTTAATTTTTTTGGAGATGCTGTGTAGATTAGCTGCAAGTCAATTGCGGTAAAATTAATAGAGACCCTATTTTGTTTCAGTATAACCGTGACAATATGGCCCTATTAATTCACATTTTAACCTCCATAAAGCTTGGACTTGTGAACATGCATGCATCTCATATGTGAGAATGAGTGAGATTGCTGAGTGCAGACTCTATAAGGGATAAGAAAAATACCTTGTCTATGAAAAAATCAGATGGGGAACCATCAGAATGCAACTTCTTTTTGATCAACTTGGTGTCTGGTCCATCCCTTGCAAAAGACTGAGAAGAAGCTGAGAAGGCCTCACTATCAGATCTCTGATTCAGAGGCAAAGGAGCCGTTTCATCATCATCCAATTCAATTTTCTTCCCTTTCTTAAATCCTTCAAACCCCCATTGCTTTTTCACCGATCCCTCTCTCTGCTCCCTATGAAACAATGTCCTAAAAGGTTTCCTCTTCGACTTTTCCGAACCACCACCACCACCACCACCGCTTTCCTTCCCTGGTTCCGGAGGCCCACTTTCTTCCATTAGAATTGACAAACCTTCATTCTGTTGTTTTCCCTTTGAACTCAAAGAAGGTGAATCAAATATACTCTTTTCATGCTTGTTAGACGAAACAAACCCCAAAACCGATCCTTTAATCTGTTTCAAACCCAACCCGTGATTCGATTTTCCCCTAGAATTCAAATTCTCCTTGTTCATCAAACTCTTATCATCCTTCAAATCAATCACAGACCACTCCTCTTCAGAATTCTCTCTCACATCTTTCGACTTCCCCGCAATCACATCCTTAGCTTGAATCTGAACTCCTTGCACTGCTAATCTTTGTAACAACGGCCTCTTCGAAGAATGGTAATCATCTTCAGAAATACACTTAGCATAAAGCAGTTCCTAATAAGGTAAAAAAAATAGTCAAAACTCAAAACCAAAAACAAGAAAGGTTCAAAACTTCATAGACGAGTTCAAAGGGTACTCAAATCAACCTGCAAAAACAGAAGCTTGTCTCTCAATATAACAGGATTCTCTTGTTCAGAAGACGAAGCGATAAGGGTTTCAAGCAAGTGAGTTTTGAAAGCGGAAACTTCGGTTTCTGCTACAATTCCTTCTTTGTGAAGACCCATCAAGTTCAAAACTTGGTGGAAAGAATCCTGTTGCCATTTCAGGTTATCAGATTGTAGCTTTGAGAGCTTATGTTCTGCAGATTGTAAAGATCGTTTCTTGAAGCTGAAAGGAAGAATGGTTTTGCAGAATGAGGTGATTGAATCATGGAGTGATGAGTAGTAAGTGGGGGTGTAGTTGGAATTGGAGTACACCATTTTTGTTTTGTGTTGAAGAATGTGAATTTTTGAGGTGAAAATTGTTGTTTAAGAATGTTGTTGGAGATGAAAATAAAACTGTCGGAAATAATGTATGGTTTTTGATTGTGTTGTTTTTGTTTCTTTTCAGAATTTGAAAAGTTTGAAGGGTGTTATTATTATTTCTCAAACGGTCATTTGAAGGTGAAACTAGCCGTTGAGGGTTGTGAACGAGATGAAGCATCATCTTGTGGTGAACATGTTCTTCCATATGGCTTTTGACTAAAAGGTCAAAAGAGTAACTTCAAATTTCATTTTTAAAGTCTATGAAAATTATCATTGGTTTTATTTTTCTTTTAAAAATAATTAATATTTTTGCTTAAAAAATATTTTTAAAATGAAATTATTTTTTGAAAATAATAAACAAACACTATTAAAATGATAATAAAATTTCTATTTTACAATTTTTTTATTTTAAATATCCATAACAAATGCGCCTTACCATAGTATATTTCAATAATAAGTAATTGTTATCAACTTGTATCAAATAACCATTTCGTGAAGATTTAATTTAACGAGTTGAATAAAATTGTGGTAATATTGCTTTTAATTATAATGATTTTATTTAGTAAAGTAGTTTTTTTTATTTAATTTTTAATATTTGTAATAGAATAAAAAATAGATGATAAGTTGAAGCTAATTACTATATAAGAATAAATGATACAAGTCTTATAGTAATATGATAAGGTGAGGCTAATTATTATATAATGGATTATACAAGTCTATTATGATAATAAAAGACTAGTTATTCGCCGGATTAATACTTAAATATTTAAGTTATTGTTTGATAAAGATTGATATATGTTTTACTCTAAAATTTGTCCTCTTATTTTACTCAACACATAGTTCTTGAGATCCTCAATTTGCTCAAAGTTTGTCCAAGAGTTGACCAGACAAACTCTCTCCTAAGACAGGTTGTCTCAAATTAGGGTTTCCATTTTCATCAAGATAGGTGGACTCCAAAGACCTCATATGCTCTCCTTGGTCCTAATATGTTCTCAAGACCCTACATGTCAAGTTTCATGCCTTGCACAAGAAGTTTGCTCAATCAACTGCTCAGATGCTTGAGAATCGACTATATTAGGTCAAAAGTCAATTGTGACCCACATACAGTCAAACATCAAGATTTTTGGTCAACATTAACATTTTGAAGTGACTTTCATCATTTGATCAAGGGTTGATCATGATTCCTCAAGGAATGCTCCAAATTCATCAAAATCCAAAAGTTGCTAAATTAGGGTTTCTTAGGGAAAGTCAACTAAACTTTGACCAAGCATAACTTCCACATGCTTTATCAGAAATTTTCCATCCAAACTCATTTTGAAGAGGATGCAATTCCCTACAATTAATCTTCATCCTACAAGTTCAAAATATTCACCCACAAAAAGATATGAATTTATATATTATGGGTCCTTTTAAAAAGTCAACAAAAACACCTTTTGGGTCAAAGCTTCTTACATGAACATGGAAGACTCAATTGAGATGAGACAAAAAGGGTTGCTTAGAGGACATCCTAAGATTTCTAAAAAGTCCAATAACACCTCTCTAGGGTTAAAATTGGAGGAGATATGTCTTGTCAAATTTGACCTTTTTTGCAAAATTGCCAAAAGTCAAATGGGCTCAAAATTACATTTTTTTGCCAAATGAGCCTAACGTTTTATGCTTGCACCTCACTTATAATATAATCCACGACCCAAACATTCACCCACAAATTATTTTATTCACTTTTTAATTTATTTTGATTTTTTATTAATTAAAAATTGAATTAAATCAAATAATTGGTGAATAATAGCAAATATATGATTTGATTTGGTTTTTGGACAGGTTGGAAATCAAAATATGCTGACTTATCAAGACCAAAACGAATCAAGCATAATTGGTACAAGAAAGGGATGATTTGGCTCAAAATAGCAAGTTTACATGTAGCATGAAAATCAAATCAAATCTCTCATAATTGCAAAGATTCAATCCAATTTCACAACCCTAATTCATTCCTAGATATATATTGGACATGTACAAGGCATGAGACAAGGTTGCAGTCGTGAAGAGAGGCAGAACAAAACTTCAAAATTTCAAAGAAAAGTGTTAATTCGATTTCCATTCTAGAGGCCAATTCAAGTCGTTCTAACATTACCAATAGCTTGCTGGACATCCCAGGAACGTGTCCCAATCAATTGCAAGCCGCCTCAGGTCCAGAATCATCATGTAGCAGTCCCGCGGTTTGCCTTGTTTTCTAAATTCGATTACTGTGATTCACGCATCATGAAGATGTTTTAATGGCATATATGTGTTTGTTATCATGTTTGCAACGTATTGGTTATGTTTAATTAATGTTTTAACGCGTATACTGATGAATGCCATAGCTAGGGTTTGAAGCCATGTTTTGGGGCTTCTTGACACATGAAAAATTAGGCCATGAATAAGGTACCATGATACTTGTGAGGCCAAGACGAGTTGATTGGTACAATCACAATTAATTTTTCATGCATGTGCTGGATTTTTGAGTTTTACAGGTTTGTAGCTACAGACTTTTGTCTGTAGGTAAAGGTATGCAGCTAAGACGATGGAGAAAGGTAGAAGAAGATTAGGTGTCAGCCAATCAGTGGACCATTTGAATCTCGTGCGCGTTTCCCACTAACTCAGTTATTTTGTTATATTATATTTTGTTTTTATTCCATATACAACAAAGCAGATCAGCCCAATGGAAGAGCGCGCTAGTGGTAAGTGTGACGACCTGGGTTCGATCCCAGGTCCAAGCATTTTCTTATTTTCTCAATTTCTGTTCACAGATCTAGGGCATCAACCTTGCACGCGCCTTCCATATTCGTCAAGTCATCACCAATGGATCACAGCCTCTCCAGATCTAACGCATAAGCAGTGAGGGACCATGATGCACCCCCAGGTCAACGCCACATGGAACCAGGAACTGACTGGGCTTGGGGAATTCAGAATCATACCCCCCAGATTACTCATTATACAGGCCCAGTTTGTAGTTTCTTTCTATTTTCTTTAATTATTTTCTTTAATTGTTTTAATTAATTAACACAAAAATTATTATTTTTTATAAAACTAAAAAATCACAAAAAATACAGAATTAAATATTATTTATTCAAATTAATATTTTTGGAAATAAATTAGGTTAATTAGTTTATTTGATTATTTGTTTTAATTAAATAGAAATTAAGTTTTAAATTTTGTAATTAAATTGTTTCTTTTCTCAAATAAAAAACCACAAAAACACATAAAATATTTTTTATAAAATATTTTATTTTCTTGAATTATTTAATTTAGTTTAAATTAGCCTGATTTCAATTTCTTTTATAATTAAAATTAATTAGAATTAGGGTTTTAGTCGTACATAACCTAATTAAGTCTTTTCTCAAGAATTAGTTCAAATATTTTTTTCAATTAGATTTTTAGAGTTCTCAATTTTTCTCGCATTTAATTTGCCGCGCGCATTTTTATTTATTTTATTATTATTGTAATTGTTTCGAGGTTGTAATAGTAATTAGGGTTTTAAGTTTCCGCATTTTTATTTTCCGTCAAGATAAGAATGTAACTGTCAAAGCCTTGTAATATCTAGATTTGTTTTTTGCACTTTAAATTCCTGCAAATATTTAACTGTCTAGATGCATGCTAATAGGATTGTGTGGCAAGAGTATCTTGAAATTAAAACGGTAGATCGCCTAATGTGCAAAGATTAAATAACTGAAACAATTCATATGCACATATTCACTCCTAGGGTTTACCTCACTTCGATTGCCTTCGGTAAAGCAGTCATTAAGCATAAGAGATTTTAGTGGTTGCCCTCCCGTCTAAAAGATCAAAATGTCCCATTCGAATGTTGCCTCAGAAAGATCTTAATACTCTAGGGTTATTACTAAAGTTTTCTAACTATTGCTTTAGTGATTGTACTTGTCCCTTTCGAATGTCCCTTACAACTCCAACGACGAGGCTACCCACTCCTTAATAGTAGGATAGCGCTGTCTAAAGGAAACGAGAACGAACAATCTTTTTTTTAGTAGGTAGATCAGTTCCTAAGTACTTGCTCAAACAATAAAAACTTTTCACACAAACACCTTTCAAAATAATTTTCAAAAGAAACTTCGTCACATCCTTGAGGACTGATACAAGGGTTATCACGAAGTAAAAAAATTTAAAGGCAAACACACACAAGCAATTTGAAAAATGAGCAAGTACCTAAGAGCCCATGGAAAACTATGGATAGAAAGGGTGTTAACCCCTCCCCTTTCTATAATCTACCCCCCGTACTCAGAATATCTCGAAAAAAGGTTTTTTCTGTTCTTTTCACCCTTTCCTTTGTTGGATAAAAGAAAAGTCGGTGGCAACTCTTGCTTATCGTGACATTTGCGAACAAAAACGCAAACTAGTATTAATAGTCGGTTCTGCCACCGTATCACAGAACTGGCGACTCTGTTGGGGAGAAAATAAAGTGGGGTATACCTTAGGATCTAGGTTATTTTAAAAATTGCTTTCTTGTTTGTTTGCTTTATCTTTAAGGGTTTTGCTTGGGTTATTATAAATCCTACACCCGAATCTGGGGGGGCACTCATTAGGTAAACAATAATAGATCGTGGAGACTGTACGGCGTAGACCAATATGGTTTAAGCAATGGTTGTGTTGGTGTGGCACTTTGGTTGGTACCAGTATCCTTCGTGGGGAAATAAGGAGAATACGGGGCCCTCGCGTGGTGTCGTGAAGCACTAACGGACCTTAGAACCTTAGTTGAACAAACTTGGCCATTAGAAAGTAGTGAGATAGCCAACCTCGGTGCAGAGCTGAGGATTGGTTGATACTCGATGCTACACTCATTGAGATTAGACTTTCGGGATATTTTGGCCGCAAGAAAAAATTGCTTGAGTTGAGACAATGCCCGATAAAGGATGGTCAGTGATATTGAGATCCCTTAGAACCCGATTACTTTTTAAGTCAGGTTTGAA